AAGACAGCAGTACTGGATAACTAATATTCTCTAGCGTTTATATTAACTTTAGAGCCATCTATATACAGTTTGAAATGGAAAAACCATCATTGAGTTTAAGGTTTTGTTCACAAGTTAACCAAACTGCACCATCCAACAACAAACTGCAGTAAATCACAAGAAGAAAGTCAAGCTGTTTTACCCTAGCTTTTTTACAGTCCAGAAGTATTTTCAGAGTCCAGAAGTATTTTCTTATGACATGGTTGTCCTATATGGTGTGAGCACTGGCAGACCTTAATGTCAGCAGATTGTTAGTTACAGTTAAGCATATTATAACTATGTATTCTAGCACAGTAGATTATCAAACTGTTACAGGATTTATATCTTTATTTACAGTGGTTACTTGGGAAATGCTTCAGAACATGCCAGTTAGAGGGGGGCTTTTGTATGTTCATTATGTACTTTGTAACTCATTTCTATGCAATACACTACTCCTTTTCCACGCTCTCATTAGAGAGAATTGGTAATCCACTAGCTTCAAAATATACTGATCTAAATAAACCCCCACTTGCAGAAGTGTTATACAACAATGCTTCAAACACTAAGCTATAAAAAGTACTGAATCCGGAACTTTCCACAGAGTCTGAAAGCCTTCTAATTATGCAATGTTCAGTATATCATGATATTTGACAGTGCCTACTTCCTGTCTCTGCTGCCAATCCTAATTCAGGAGGGACTGACTCTCTCTGGAAATGAATATAGCTTAGTTTCCAGGTCCATTTCATCCTTCACTTCTCCATGATCAGATTAACCCGATTAACAGTTAATGCCAGCTCTGGTGCTAGTATTTGTGGTATAAACACTTGTTTACTTGGAACAGGACTATGACTATAAAACAAGTTTTACAGAGGTCACCTAAACAGCCAAAAGCTGATAGATAACTTGTAATCAGTACTGGCCTGAGCTGGAGTTGAATTGTAATCTTCAGTCTATTCCCCGAGCCATGTGTTACCCAATGCCTTCCATTTTAAGAAGTCTCCCATAAGATAGGCAAGCTACTGAGGGCTCAAGCAGGAGCCTTCTGTGCTAGAGGCACCCAGCCCTGACTCCTGCACTGGGGACAACCCATGCAAATAGGGTAAACATGTTAGTAGGCCAGCAAGGATTGCCTAAAAACCCAAATATTATTCCCAGGAAGCTAGTTATTTCAGAGGTGGGGAACAGATATTTTGGTTCTAAACAGGATCTGGATTTCCAGTCAGGTCTTCTGGGTACCTGCAAGAGACACTCCTGAACAACTGGTGAACTGAAGTCCCTCCCTCTTCAGCTTGTCTGAACTAAGGGAAACAGCTGTGCTTATTTAGATATGTAATAGAGCAGAGCAAGAGTACCTCTTTACCTGTAACCTCTAACTGATGGAGTTTACAGAGGTCATTTTGACCTCAGAAGAGAGACAGAAGGGTCTGTCCACAAAAGCTGTTATGATCGAGAAGCCAGATTGTTCATAACAGGACCTGCCAACTTAAAGGTTTATCCCCATTTTAAGTACTGAAGTACCTAGCACTGGCTAAGTCCTTTGGAGAGAGATGGAAAATAAGAGATTCTACTTTCATGGACTACAATGACCTTTGGATCAGGCCCTTAGTAGATGTGGGACAGTGAGGACTGAAAGATACTGGATTTGACTTCAGCTATTATCAGGACAACGTATGGTATGAGAATGCTTAGCTTTGGATTTTGTGCAGATCACAAGTTGTAAATAAAACAAACCCCAGAAAAGATCTGTTTTTAAAAAATGAAAATGGATTCCTGCTGAATGTGCCCAGCTGTGCCAACATTCCCTCTCCATCCTGCCACACCCAAGCACCATATTGCATTTTTAGAGGGACAATATTCAACATTAATGGGCTAAAAAGATGCACTCGTACCTCACCCCTCACACACATTTTTCTAGAGGACTAAAGGCTGTAAGAAGAAGATTAGAATCCCAGGGCCTAATCATTCCTTTTCCCACCTGACATGCGTGTGCACACAAACTACCCCTAGATGAGAGGCCTACACTAGGTAGTCAGGTACCTCTGTAGCACCAGCACTATCCCACCTCCCAGGACATCATGGAGGGTTCTCTGCAAGATAAACAATCTTCAGCTGAAGAGAAAAAGTCAGATGGACGCATGGAGAATTTGCAGAAAAAGCAGCAAAGCCTCAGTCTGTGCTATCTTCCATGCCAAACCCCTACACGTGGGGGAATGTTCCTAAAGGGGGCCCTGAAGCAACTGCCAAGGAAGCTCTGAGAGCATGGCCTCCTTCAAGCCATACTGCCAGGGATTCAGAGAGGGAAAAGAGCGCCAGTGCATAACCACCGGCCTCTATACCAGAGGCCCTGGCATCCAGCAGGTCCCACAAGCTCCATGAGGTTTTGTGGGCAGGTGGGGGGGGGGGAAATCAACAGCTAGTTCCACTGGGGTGATGGCAGAGCTCACCTACCCTTCCCCAAATTGAACAGTCTAGGTTCACACACTCCATCCCAGAGGAATTTCTTCAGAAGAGGGAGACTGAGCATCTGAATTAGAAACTGGGCGCGCTGCTGTTCAGATTCTGCATGCACTTCTGTGCATATCACACTATGCCATGTTTTCACTATTCTCACAAGGCAACAGGGAACAGAGAGCCCTGCTGTCTGAGCTCCACGTCCCTGAGCAATACAAAAAGGAGGGTTGTGGTCACTTCTGATCCTCTGCCAGCTCTAAAGAACAGAGCAGTCACAAAAAGCAGAAGGACAGCGCTGTTTGCATATTCAGGTTAGCAATAAACTCAGCACCCTGTACTAGTAAGTCACTTAGAAGTTGGAACTTTAAAACTGAGAAATAGGAAGTCAGATACATATTTCACAATCTGGGTGAAAGAAAAAGTTGTATTTCAAAAATTTATTTTATAATAGAGGAAGGTGGTTATATTTTAGTCCTATCATCCTGAGCAATATAGTATCCCTTTTAAATTAGAAGCTCTCTGTATTCTGTCCACATTCTTTGTTAGCTCGCAAAAGACAAATATACATTTCAGTGCAAGAGCAGGAATAATCACAGACCAATTCAAGTCTGAGCAAAGGAAAAATTGGGTCTCATTTGCTGTTTGTAGTGTGGGACATATTACAAAGTTTTTTATTTCAGTTAACATTAAAGCTGCATACATGGAAGATTAGAAGTGTCTTTTTAGGGCAGGTCTACACTACGAGGTTAAGTTGACCTAAGTTATGCAACTTAGATCGACTTATTACAGTGTCTACACCACGCTGGGTCGATAGGAGAAACTCTCCTGTCGACTTACCTTACGCTTCTCAGTCAACAGGAGAGCAATCTGCGGTCAATTTAGCGGGTGTTCACTAGACCCACTAAATCGACTCCTAGTGGATCGATCGCCGCAGCATCAATCCACAGTAAGTGTAGACATACCCTTAGAGATACAAAAGCTACACAAAAGAGCAAAGTGCATTAGCTTTAAAACAAAGAAACCTGACATTGTAATTTTTAAAGCCTCCCAAGTTCAACCCACAAACATTTCACATATGCATGTATGTAAAATAGTACACAGGTGAACAAGGAGCTAATCTTGCAACTTGTTGCACATTGGCAGACTGCTGTGCTAGAACAGGATCAGAGCTTTTTTGTTTTTTAAGCACACACATGTTTTTCTGGTACAAATCAGGAAGCTTCTTTGACAGCTTGTTCCTGAAAATGCATTTTTGCCTTATGATCTCATACAATAATTTCTGGTTATAATACACATTTTGCTTTGTGCCAGGTAAAATTCATATTTTTTAAAAAGAAAGAAAGGGATAATAGCAACTTAAAAAACAAATATAAGCCATACTTCTTTCAGAACATATTCCACTGAACAGGTATAGAAGTGAAAGAGTAGAGAAGAAAGTTCTCTTTTTTCCTTATCCAGTTTACTTGGGTCACTTAATAATACTATGCAAGATTGGGGCTTGCAGCGAACATTTATGCACATGCTTAAAGTTACTACATGAGTAAAGTTACACACAGGTTTAGAATATGTGCAAGAGGGGAGTCAGCTTTCCCACTTTTGGCTCCAACCCTGCATCCAGTTAATAGGGTCCACTTGTACAGGTTGAGTTACAAGATCAGGGCCTTTGGATAGTTTCCACCCCCCCCCCCCCCCCCAATACAGAAGAGAGTTTTCTTTAAAAATAATAAATAATAAATAATAATAATAATAATAAGATACAATTGTAAAACACTTAGAGGCAAATGTATTTTTTTTTAAAAGTCAAAATTATTTCAATATAAAGTAGGCTGAAATTTAGTTTAAACAGTATCTCTGTTACTATTTCAAACTTACAGCAATGAACATGCTTACTAAATAATTAGACTTCTTTGAAGTCTTCCATGAAAGGAATTGTATAAACATTTTTATTATAAAACACTAAATGCAAAGCATTTTCATTTATTTTATAATGGTTAGAAACATAGCTTTCTCTTTGCACATGTTGTCTTAAGAAATTTAGACTTTAGTAGAATATAGAAACAATGCTAGAAGTGTATGGCATTAAAATAGTTAAGCTTTTGAATTAACACAAATTCTGGACTTCCAGAAAAACTTTATATATATACAGCTTAAAATAAAAAAGTTATATTCTCTGCAGATACCAAATTATAATAATTGAATTTTGCTATACATACCTACAGTTCTCTATAGTACAAGGAACACAGAAACTGAGTCCTCCCCCCCCATCAACATACATTTTTTAAAAATTCTATTTACAGTTATTACTTTCTAATCACAGGAAAGCAATCATTAACCTTATGCCTGACCTACAGTATCTCAACAGAAGCTCTTAAACCAGACTGTAGGACACCTGTTCTTTACTTGCTACATACACCTTGCTCAACATAAAGCAGTCATTTCTCCTGGTACCACAAACACTCTTAAAACTAGTATTTTGGTAAATGGTTTTCAAAGCATTTTGGCTACCAAGGGAATCTTAACATCACACTTACCTTATCAAATCATGCAGAGTGCTCTAGCCAGACTTCCTGCTTTCTGACAAGTTGTATCATACTTCAGCAGAGGGGTGGAGCCAAACAGCTTTTTAATCAGAAGGGAACAGGCCCTAGGGAAAGCTTGTTAAAGCAAGCAGGAGGTTAGGAAGAAAGGGAAAAAATAGTAATGCTTTAAATTAACTTTTAGAAATACCTGTCTTAATAAATTGCCATAAACATTTACCACACCACATATAAAGTCTACTTTACTTCCCTTTACCCTAATGAAAAATACATGATATTTTACTCACTCTGGGGGAAAAAACACTCTTCTTAGGCAAATAGGCAAGAAGAATTTTGCCAGGCTGCAACAATTAATGCATATAGTTATGCACACACTTAACTTCACTACTGGATGTAGCCCATTGATTTCAATGGGACCATTCAGAGTAGTAAAGTTAAACAAATGCATGTTTGCAGAATTGAGAACTAAGGCCCAGATCCTCACAGGTATTAATTAGTGCCTAACTCCCATTGAAATCAATCTGAGGATCTGAAAGCTAAAGTCCTAATCATGTAATGAGCTCTAGGCAAGCAGACCTATTTCCATGAATAGCTGTATTAACTTCTGAGGGGCTTTATGTGTGCACATGCCTCTGCCTGCATGTTCATTTTGGGATTGGGTCCTAAAAGATCAAATTCATATTTCATTAATATGCATTTTTCATTTTAATTTTCATTAATAATAAGATGTGTTAAAGCAAATTGCAGGGAAATCTTAAAAAGTTATAGAAGCAGGAGAGCTATATTTGCCTCCAAATGAAAACATTTGAGAATATTTTAGAATAATTTATTGGTGGGGGCACTATTTCTAATAATTGTTAATTTGTAATTAAGGGCATTGTCTTGCTATCATTATATAAGAACTTTCCCCAGTTGCTTCCATTGAAAGGCAAATTAAAATGGTTTGTGTAAAACTTAGGACTGATCTTGCAAGTTGACCTATACAGCTGCACCCCTATACAGACCCCCCAATCAAGTCAATGGGGCTTTGTAGGAGTCAACCTTGCAGGATCCAGTGCAATCAATAAGCATATTTTGTTTTGCAAACTTGAAATGTTAAAAGTTACCTAGTAATGCTCTCAAGATACTATCAGACCTTTGTACCTGTGAGGTGCCCTGTTAACTTCATTGAGGCTCTGGTCCAGATCCTCAATAGTATCTAGGCACTTAATTCCCATTGAAATCAATGAGGATCTGGCCCTCTGTGGCTATGCAACGATCCTTCCTGCAAACCATTATGCCTGTGAGAAATCTCACTGACTTCAATGAGACTACTACTCAGAAGTGTAAAGTTAGTCCTGGGTGTGCATGTTTGCCAGATTGCAGCTTTTATTACCAGCAAAGCAAATATATACTGTCTTTAATTGGAAGTCTGCTTGCATAAGACTGCCAAGGGGCCCTAAGTATTTATGCAGACATCTTCTGTCACAACTTTAATGTCCCTCATGTTTTGACTAAATCTTTTATTGCTCAGAAACCACAGTATCCTTAAAAAAAAGGAGGGGAGGGGAAAGAAGCCGCAGCAAATATTCATAAAAACTCAAAAGATATTCAGAAGCAGTAAGTACGTCCCTTTTCAGCCCTGTAGAGCCTCTCCTATTTACTGCAAAGAGAGAAGTTTTTTGTTTTATTAAGGTTTCCATAGTTTCTGCCCCACTCACTGAGATAACAACATAGGGCCATGAGATAACAAGCTCTTATCCTCTTTTCCAGACCAGCCAATATAGGGAGCATAGTTCAGCACAGCTGAAGTCTCAGCCCACAGACTTTAAGAGAGAGTATAAGTCTTCCAATGAATTACATTAATCAAATGTTCATATTGTGTGTTTGAGTGGTGGGCAAAACTGTATATCTATATTTAGCTGGTTATATGTTAAAATTGAAGGGGAGTTTGTTGTGGAACGAAGAGTCTGAGAGTGTTTAGATATCTTGATGTGGTATTTGGGGCTGGTATGAAGGGGTATCTTGTCTTAAATGGTGACTTTGACTTCCTGGAGTTTTAGATGTTGCTTTATTAGGAAATGCACTTATGCAAACTCAACTGTAAATTAAAGATTTTTTTGTGTGTGGGAATTTAAACTGAGCATAATGACATAACATTATGATTTCCCTAACGTGCTCTCAATGAAAAATCATGACTTTAATAAAGATACTGATCTGAGTTACTATATCCCTTCCTAACTCCCCTAATGCATTGCTGGCCTCTGCACAGGAGTGAATTTCACTTATGATGATGCACAGTAGCAATATTATATTTATATTATGTTTTGACATGATGTGCAGTTAATCCACTCAGCGGCTTATTTACTAGTAAACTGGAACAATTTTTATGACCTCATTGGCATTCAGTTATAATTAATGCTAGTTAGAAAAATATAACTATCTACTGAAATATAGGAGACTTGCTTAGTATCATATAATTTCTCTCTAGTCCCACTTTTCCTAGATTACGTCGACCTCCAACCAAGTTCAATACTATGATGCATTTTAGAGATGATCTATAAAAGCATATTCCAAGGTAGGTTTACGGTGCAAAATAATAATGAAATATCGATTCCATAAGCCATCAAATTGTTAGTGTTTAAGGCCCCGATCCTGCAGTGATCTTCCTCAGTGAAGTCATTGCATAAGCAGGTCCTTATTGTGTAGTATCTAAAGAAACACCATACAAAATCAAAATATAGGGGTGTTTGTTCCAGGTCAGTAGCAAATAAGGTTACTTCATGTCCACTTTCCACTCATAAGTAAACCTAAAAATACAGTCTTTTTGATAAAATTATGAGTCACAAAACCCACCAAAATAAGGTAAATCTGAATTGAAAAGTGCCCAATCCATTTCTCTGTTCTAATTTACAACCACTTTGCTTGTAACTGTTATTTGTAAACCACTTAAAATATAGCCAAGTTAGGAGAACTCAGTTGGAATTAAGGTCTCAGCAGTCAGCTTGTGCAGATCTCATTACAGTATGAAGATCTGTGCCTCTGAACGATGGGCTGGAATTATAAAAGATACAGCTAATTACCTGATTTTCATCTTCACAGAGGGAGGCTCAGCTTTGAAATGTAACCCTTGATGCCGTTTTAGTGTACATTTTGCTGATAACAGTAGTTAGACATTGGAAAAGTAAATCCATTTGTCCCTCCAGGTTAAACTGGGCAAAAGGAGGGGATGACATTTTGTTGTTGCTCACTTGTTCAGCTCCTCTGATTTCAATAGCTGTTAGTGACTGTTTTATAACAGTTTGGCAAATATTATTACACACACACAAAAGAAGGAACCAATAATAATAAGTGAGAACAGGTGCATATGCTCCCCCTAAAACAGCGGCCCTTAATCTTTCTCCAGGGATTCTGCAGCTTTTCAAGCTTGTTGATCCCATTTCCAAAATACACAAACAGGTGCACAGTCCTAGTGAAAATGTTTCCATAAACAAGATTCTTATGCTGTAAGAGGCAAATCATTTTTAAATTTAATATTTCTGCACAATATGCAGTCAAAGCCAGAAAAGAGTGTAAGAGTTATATCAAGGAAATATACCCCCACAGGGTTCCTGCAGCCCCCATTGGCCTGGAGCGGCGAACCGCGGCCAGTGGGAGCCGCAATCGGCCAAACCTGCGGATGCAGCAGGTAAACAAACCGGCCCGGACCACCAGGGGCTTTCCCTGAACAAGCAGCAGCCCGACTTTGACAAGCACTGCTTTAGAGGAGATGCTCCTGTATTACCACACTGAGCCTCAGGGAGACTAGCCCCTGGACTCCAGAAGCAATGGCGATAGAGGCTCAGGACCCCGCTTCTCAGATTATTTTAGGCTCCAGGGCACAGATGGAAGTTGCTAGCAACACAACAAGACCCAAGCATAAGCTAGAACTCAGAAACAACGGGTTTGGTTTTGCTTTCAGTTTTGGCTTTTGTTTGGAGATGGAGTGTAGCAGAGAGAGAACTATCACAGCTAGGGAGAACCCTTCTGTTATCCACACTCCTACCCAAGGGAAGACTTTGAGCCCTTTGGGGATTTCTGGGACATTGGACAGTGTCATCTCAGCAGAGACCAGAAACCCAGGAGCCTGAGGAGAGAGTCATAGTTAGGCTACCAAGAGGCAGCCTAACTCCACATTTGAATCCAGACCAGAGAGCCACAAAGACACTCTTACAATTCTTAGTGTGGATACTTTAAGAACACCCTTGTTTGTTTATTCTGATATTGTGTTTTAAGCCATTCTCTGACTTCAGCACTGCACCGCCCAGCAAAGACTGTGCCTAAACTCACTGTTTGCCTAGGCAGGTGCTGGGAGAGAGCGCAGGGTGGTGTGTACTGGCTGTGAACATTTGGAGGGATACAGTTTATATATTGTTGTTTTTGTCTTTTATTATCCTGATCCCTGGTTTCCATTGTCCCTTATCCTGAGTGCCCCATACTTAATAATGGCCAGGTACAGTTTTGTTACTTTGGGAATTGTGATAGCTATTTTATGGTTGTGTGCTCTCACTGACACTCCTCTGTATGAGAATATTTACACAAGGGACAGAGCCTCTGTGCTATCTGCACTAGAAAGGGTTTCCTTGCATGGAGGGATCTGGTGCCCTTATAGGTGAACCCAGGACTCATACCCCAGAAAAGAAAAAGAAGAAGGCTGCAGCCAGACTTCAAGGCTGGATTAAATATGCTTTTTTCTTTCGATAATAGTGTATACATATGCAGTCATTTAAATTGTAGTTATAATTAGGAATAGAAAACTGCTCCTCGGGGGTTGCTCTGTCATTTTCCCCAGGTCAGTACAGCTTTTTTGTTTCATAGTCTTACTGCCCTATAATTGGAGAGTAACTGATACAATATTTGTGTAAATATAAACATTGTTTTTGTACAGTATTTTCCATTTGACTATGGTTATCCTCTTGGGATCAGCAATAAGTACAAAAGAATAAAAATGTCCTCTCTTCAAGGTCTCTCTATACAGATAGAGAGAGATCTTGTACAGATCTGTCTGATTCTCCCTTAACATC